GAGTGATATAGATGGATTGCTTATAACTGTGTGAATTTTCTGAGAGAAATTATTAAATCAGTCTTTCATTTACTTTTATGTATGTATAAATTGTAACTTAAATTCAATCGATGTTCAAGCATATTTACCTCAACATTGAGAGGTCCATCAGCTTTGACAGTGCCTTCAATATGCAGACTGCAGGAGGCCTCCAGCAGGCCGTCAGCGCGGCAAGCGCGGCAGGCGATGCGCAGACGCAGCACACTGGCGCAGAAGGCGAGCGCGCGCGCCGGCCCGCCCGCCGCGCCGTCCGCGCGCACCTCGCCCGCGCTCGCCTCCACCACGAGAGGCGAGCGCGGACATCCGTTCACGACAGTCAGCGTCGCGTCCATTATGTGCACACCCATAAACTATTACACATACAATATTGATACATTTCCTCTCATAAGATAAAAACATCCCATCTACACCGTTGAAGAGACCGGTTTCTTACCACAATTGGGTTTGAGCCCCTGATATTTGGCAAAGTTGAATGTGCAATGTTCACAGGTTAAAACATTAATACGAACATATGTTATGAGTAGCCATATTGGTCTACTTTTCACTGATAAGGTGACCACTTCTACTGTCTGTGTTCAAATGCTAGTTTTTCCTACCAAGTTGTTAAACCTTATCTTATGAACATTAGTTAAAATTTGTTTTAGTTCTATGTTAAAGAATTATGAATATTAAGAATACCTGAGCAAACATAATTAGACTTGGTGGTAACTTTTTGTCACGGAAATCTAATAAATTCTTCTGTGTGATTCGTTGCAATTCTCTATTGATTATATCAGAATCTGTAGCGCCATCTTGTCCTTCTTTGAAGTTGGAGTTTTGCTTTGATAATAAAGGTTTGAGTATTGTCTCCACAACTGCACTTCTTTTCTCTTCCGTATTGTTCGTGATTTGAAGTTTATTTATGACGACAGACACCAGTTTGTTGATTTCTGAATTAAAAAAGCTACTTCGGAATGATACTTCACCAATGTGCTGAAATTAATAATTATTACTGTTAAAGTATTCTTAAAGAAATATTAAATGTGATACTAATTTAAAATGTTTCTCTCAAATGTGGTATTTATTCAATTTTTTTGATAGCTTCCTTTGTTTTAAAAAGGGACCAACAAGTAACAGATTGTCAAATGCTATTTGATCCATTGCCCATGGACATCTGCCATGCCTGTGGAACTGCAGGTATGTTGCTGGCATTTAAGGGAGGTATAGGCTCTTTTCTTTAGGGCTCCGAAGATTTTGGATGATTTGCATGATTGATTATTTGTTGGACTATTTATTAAGAAGCAATAGAAACATGTATTAACTTACAATAAAATATCCATCTTTGGAAAGGCTAACATCTCGTAAAATTAGCTTGGGGACCGCTATTCTGCCTATTCTTAGTTTTATATGATATTTTCTTTTGAAAAGCCATGCCAACAAAGTTGGCAATAACCTAGAATGTAAAAGAATAATTGCAATATGAACCTATTAGATTCTTAATAGAAAAAAGTAAATAAAAGCACATTAATTTAAATTAATTCTCAAGTCTTACAGCAAAAGTAGGAAAACATTTTTTACTTTAATGAAATATTATTTACTATTCGATTTGAATAATAAATTAAATGATCCCCTTATAATTATGAGAACAGCTGTTTACGGTTACTAATACTTAAAAACAATTTGTACGTATATAATAAAAGCTTTAGTAGGAATTTTATTAAACCGTTTTATTAAATTTATTTTGATATCTCATAAATGAAAATACAGAATTGTTTAGCTGTTATAAATAAACAACTTATGACAACAAAATATACTTACCACGAAACACCGATATAAATCGCCAACAGAGTTAGCAAAAATATAAACAGTGCACTCATTTTCATTCATTTATATCATTTCTTTAATTTACAATCCTGATAAGAGACTAATTATCGTTTATAATCATTTTCAAAATAAGTTTTCTGTAACCTCAAAATGCATAGTGTACAAACTTTTTGACAGTTGACATTGACAGTTTCGGACATCATCAGTGACAGTACTACTTTCACAGCCACAGCATATAACGGAATTTTCGTAATCAACATAATCCCAATTTTAATACAAAAAATCGTTTTTTGCAAAAAATTACGGTTTACTCAAAAGATTAACGGGACGTGGATGACCTGCGTCAAAGATTTATCATTGACATGGTTAATCTGCTTCTCACTGCTAGAAGTAGCTATCCTTAAAATTCCCCTGCGCCCGATTTATCGCTTTTAGGTCATATCAAGAAATAAGCAACATATGGTTATGTTTTTTGTAAAGATAATTCTTTACGTTTAATAAGATTATTTTCCATAAATAGGGAATCCAATAACAAATGTAACAGTGGCAAAGGCAGTTCTTGTTGTAAATCATTGGGGTTAAGAAATAAATATCATATTAAAGTGTAATTATTTATTAACTAATTTATTCATATTTATCTATATCATATCTACAGTATTAAAACAAACAGAATCATGGCCAAGATGTCTTGGCAGTATATCCCTCGTATTTCCTTCTTGTTTTCAGACCAGAGACAATTGTTGAGCTTTTCGGGAAAGCAGACTTTCCATTAAATAAGGTATCTTTATCTGTGAACAATAGAATACAATCTTATTTCTAAGCAATATTGTAAATATGAAAATTTAAATAGATAGTTGGATGATTAGTATAAAAAACTCTAGGAAATCTAGAATTTGGCCTAGAGATAGATGATAATATGGAAAAACACAAGTTTTGTAGTAATTACACTTGGACAGAGTGATAGCCAAAAGCTTTCATTTTATATTATACTAGCTTTCACCCATGACTATCTAAATGGTATAAAAAAACAAAAGCAGGTAGCCTATGTGTTCTTACAGGCTATCCTCTACATCTATGCCAAATTTTATCCTGATCCATTAAGCAGTTTAAACTACATACCCTAACAAACATCTATCCATCTATCTAAAATATGTCTGTCTACATTATTAGGTAAACTAACAAGCAGTTCAACCAGTTTATCGCTAATATACAAGTAAATAATCTCTTAGTCAAATTACTATGACACTGTAATACAATAACAATGATGATTACCAGGATGGAAGCGGACATAATCTTCTTGGATATGCAAATTCTTTGGCAGGTCCATCTTTTTTAATGCATCGAACGGAGTTAGTACCTCAACAGGGGTCTGATAAAATTGATGAAGATCATCTGAAAACATTATATGTGTAACCTTATATTTTGTAAAATAATGTTTTACAAAAAAGTTAGTTCTTAATAGTAATTAAAAGAACTTGACACCTCATCATCACCATCATCATGTCCCCTGCCTTATCCTACTCCTGTAGGGCCGGCGTGCCGGGTTTTCATCCTCCAAATAACTCTATCATCCATCATCTAAGTCATCACTCCCTTCTTGATTGACTTGACTCTACACCTCTTTATAACAATTAAATTGTGCATTGATAAGGTGATATAACTAACTACCACTCATTTTTAATTCACTACTTTTAGTATTATATCACCTCTCAGCGCTTATGTATTCCTGTGAAAATACTTCAGGACAATTTCAATCCACTTCTCGTAACATTATATAACACTTACCAACATTTTCAATAGTATGCAATAAAGAGTTAGGTACACCGTGTCCAGTCTCTTCAAAGCATTTTTTTAAAACATTAAATTTAACTTCAAGACTTTCGAATTCTGAATCTGACTTCAGACCATACTGAGAACAAATTTTTTCGACTGTCTCATTTATGTTAGTTGGTGGCTCCCAAGGTTTGTTAGGGCGAAGGAATCTGAAAGTTTACAAAATACATTTAAGTTTTAAGAAACAAATAACATTCAGTTTTCATATATGCAGTACAATAGACACTTACCCTCTGGCTGCCAATGATTCAGCGGCAGCCTGTAACTTTTTGTCTACTTTTGGATAGCGCTTTTGTGCATTTCTTACAATATTAATCTGTAAATAAAATTAAATCACACTGTTAAAATTTCAATCAACTTTTTTAAAGAATCGACGAAAATATATGAACATAACCTGGAAATTTGCGCGTGGTATATTTATTAACGTTTTTCTAAACATTGCGACTTGAGACTATATTATTATAAACTTAAAAAAATTACTATTAGACTAAATTAAATATCTTTTTCGATAAATAAATACCATTAAAATTAATTTCTGCTGTTGACAACAAATAACCTGACGTTTAATGTCAAAAACCAGTATCGATCCGTTTTACGAGCTCTAAGAATAAAGTGATGATTTTTTTTTCAGTACTTCTTGTTTTAAGTGTTTTGTAGTTATAATTAACTTAAATTATAACTTATATATAAACGCCGAGCTCACAAATATGGTTTGCAGTATTTCTAAGAAAAAAAAACAACACAAACAGGAATTTATGCTAAATGGAAACCATGAAACGGAACGTTTAATGTTTCTGGACGAAATTAGTACCGTTTTCTACCGCTGTCAGCAGCACTGTCGGCTTGGGTTGTTGTTTCCTATCCGCCATTTTCCAGTCGCCATTGAAAGGTGAAAACTTCACTAAATGTCGGTGATGATTTTAAGATTTTGAGTGGTTTTTTTAATATTAGACCCGTTTTTAGTGTTGTGAAATGAAAATGAAGTGCCCTGGACTACCATGACGCATCAAAATCACCAAACAAACGGTGCTAGCCTCGAGGATTGCCACACAAACTTCTTCGCCTTGGTAAGTCACTTTTACATTGATGAAAGAACTCGTAGGTACTTTTCTTTCGAAATCATTGTGATTATCATGATAATATAACTGCGTTGTATTGTTTTACTTCATCTTGGATGATTGTATGTAGTGTATATTTATTGAATCCACGTTATTCAAACGGTCTCTTTTTCGACAGTTTGCGTTGATATACAAAAATCGCCTTAGTGTAATATGGATGTGGAATCGATCTATTGCGTTAAATATTGTGTTCGGCACATTCAATCCAAAGGCGGACAGTGACGCTCAGTCGTTAGTCATCCTGGCATCGTACTCCCAACAGAACAGTCACGTCGTGTTGCTAACCCATAAAATGTCATCGCATTCGGCAACCGAGGCCACAAGAAGCCATCGGCCAATAGAGGTCATTTTAAATTCACCTGGCCGTAACGTAGACCGTAATGCGTTCGCAAGACTAGTTTCGCCAGGTCGAGGAAATAACTTTCTTATTACTTACATTCTTACGGCCGCGCTCGGCACTATACTGCGACTGCTACATAATGTGATAGTGAGAATGTTTGGATTGGATGTTGGGAAGCAAGAGCGGTCGGGTCATTCATTATCGTCGTGTTGTAGTGTGGAGTCGCTTTGCGTAACGTTTATAGCTGGCGCGAATTTTATCAGATTGTATTCGGGTGAGGATTAGCAGCGGGTGGTTCGGTGGGGTGGGGAGGGGGGTTGAGAGGACGGGTGGGGGCGCTCGGTCGTCCTCGCGGAGCCGGAGAGCTGTGCGGCGCCATTTCCACCTGACGCGTTGCCATATCTCCGCGGCGCGGCGGCGCGCGCCTCCTGCAGCCGTCTCCCTCACCGCTCCGCTCCGCCTATCTCGTCGCGATACAAATTACTGATTTCTTGACTTGCTTGCTTATTGTCTAATTATTTATGCGTCGTTTGCGGACACTGCGTCTTTGTCGCGTGGAATTCTCCCGCTGGCGGCGATCGCGGCGGCCGTACGTCGTCGGTGACGCATCGTACTCCTAGGCTGACATTGCGCCGGGTTCAATACACTCGCCTCTTTAGTGGATCGCACTGCCACACACTTTTTTATATCGAATGCAACAACCAAAACATTACACGATACATGAAAACATATGCATTTTTAGCTCACATAACTATGTTAATTTTTAACATGAAGTCGATGTAATTAAATACCAACAAAGGTGTTTAACTATTTTACAATATTGTTAAATCACAGCTTATATTATTGCTCTGATATTCGCCTAGTTATTAAGTAAACGAAATAAAATAACTTAGATGGCCTATCGTTATGCTTGTCAAGATCTTCTATAATAAATGGAGTTTATATAATATCTAAACATATAAAGTAAAGGAAATCCACGTACGCGATTAATATTTTATTTAAGCCATTCAACAATTTGCGGTAAACACAACATAGCCCATAAATCTAAATTTTTAAGTTTATTGTTTTTTATTTAGGAACTTGAAATGTATAATAATAAAGATAGATCTGGAAAAGTTCATAAATAAACTACTAAAATATTCAATTTTTAATTACAACTAAATGTAAAATTTCATGTTCTCACGAACTATATTTGGTTTATACATAGCGATGTACTTGAGAATGTACATTCCGTAGTACAGCTGTTGCTAGGGGCGGGCTACAATGTCCCTTGGTGTTGCGTCTCGTTCCGTCCCCCGCAGCGCCTCGCGTGCGACAGAGATAGGACGACACGTGATATTTTTTCGCGCGCTTTATTACGGATGCATAGTGGCTATACACGACCAGAGGCTGGTGATCCGCAAACATGTTGTGTGATTTGTTGTTATGCGTATTTGGATACACAGTTTATTTACGCGGCTACTTAACACATTCATTAATGTTTTTGTATTTATAATTCCTAGCTGATATTACTGATAGAATGGTATGGAATATGAAACTTATCAATTTTTCAATTATTGCGATAAGGACGACTGTCACAGACAGACAAACAAAACATTACGTTACTGTAGTAACATTTAACAATATGATTTGATTATATCGAGGGATACTTTATTGGCAAGAGCTGAAAACATTTTATGTATGGGAATAACATAAATGGCACGATTAGTGTCGCCGAGGTCGGGGTCGGTGCGCGCGCGCTAGTGCCCATTCAAGCGCACATGAATGCTCGTAATCGATCGCAACTTTCCCATGGGCGGCGGACAGACCACGTTCAACCTTGTCTACGTCCTCCCTAACTAGTTATCACCCTTATGATTTTTATTGATTTAGTACCTAATGTAAACTCTCCTTTATAAATTCGGTAGGTTTCGTATTTCATACTATTATACAAATATTAACAGAGGAACAAGACATTATCAATCCTATTTGTTTTGGTCTCGTCAGTTTGTTTACAATGAATACTTCGTGACATTTAAGGCACTAAGCTTGAGGTATTGTTTAAAATTGATCCCAGTCTTAAAAGTGTTGTTTGCCTTAAAATTAGTTACAGGATATCCGATTTACAATAAAACATCTTTAAAAAAAATAATACCTCATTAAATGACGATGGTTTATTTAATATTACACCCTACATTCCCTCGGGCTTTGCTCCACTGTCCTTGTCCATTGACCGTCCAAATTCACAGCTTACTTATTCATGGTGGCTCGAGTACAGCGCGCCGCCCCTCCGCCTTCTGCACACGGAGCACGCCTCCAATTTACCTCTGAATAACTTCACCACTTCTCGGTCTATTAGAAACCACTGCTCGGCAACGTTGACTCCGGCCCCATTTACATAGACAAAAGAATATTCAACGTTGTTATAGTGTAAAAATGTTGTTTCTATTGTAGTAATAATCGTTGGTTTTGTAGCAACCACGTTCATTTTAAAATTTGATAGCCAAAGATACGTACGAAAAAGCGAGTTGAATTAGAGGAACACATTATTACTAGATAGAACACTACATATTTGTATGCAAATAGAAATATCAACTGTTAACAGATGGGTATTGTACGGTAAATGTAATGATTAATGAATGTTTGACGTTCGCATGGAGGAAAAATTTCACTTTCAATCTCCAGAGAGCCGAGAGTCAGCTTAGAGTCGGTCGACGTGGACGGCAAAAAACGCGCACAGTCGATTAAGTGTTAAGGTCACAGTAACCATTATGTTCATATTTTTGCCAGTCGATTACTGGACGGGAATGAATGACGCAAGCCAAAGTTCCTACACAAGGTGACTGCAACGACCCCACTGCAGGCACCTTCTCATTTCCGTAGTATCTAGACAAATTTATGTCCTGTGTTATCGTCTTGATATTTATTATCGTCAGGGTCATTAGCTTGCTGTTGTATGTCTTTTATTTTAATATATCAGCTGATAACACATCAATGTTGTTATTTTTGTAAGTTATAAATGTTTTTTCGCGCCTTTGTTCGCTTTTAGTATATAATAAATATTATATACTAAAAGCGACAAGGGCAAAACTAAATGTTCGACGAATTTTACTTGTTAAATATCAATAAATCTGTTAGCTTATCATAATTAAAATCTAGTGGTATTATTTCTTCAAATAAGTTTGTCCGAATCATTACGATTTACCTACATTAATAACTGTTACTAAATAGATTCTTTTAATTATCTTTTTTGTTTTCCAATTGTATTATGTTAGAATTTAAATTTATTAAAATCAAAGTTCAATAATAATAAATACCTATCAAAGTTTTATAGTATGCGGTTTGTTTTGCCGCGAGGATCGTCGGTAGCGTGTGATAAGCGTTATCGCTCCGCCGTCTTTCGGGCCCGGGAACCGTGGTACATCAAACTGACAACACGGCCCCGAAGCTTGCTTATTTATTGATCCGCTAGCTTTTGCCCGCGAATCCGTCCGCGTTGAATTAAAAACAAAAGTAGCCTATGTGTTCTTCCATACTATGTTTTTAATATAAGCCGAATTTCATCCAGATCCGTTTAGCCGTTTAGGCTACAAACTCTATCATCCATCTAAACTTTAGCATTTACAATATGTAGTATGATTTAATAAAAAAATTGAGAAAAAATGTTTGTAAATGTTCCTTCACTCCACAATTTTTTATTCTAACAAAAGCCCTCCCAAATGCTTTCATTAATACTTGTAAAAATATATGTAGGTCAAAGTATTAGTAATAACAGTCACAGCCAAAAAATGATACAATTTTTTCTACATGACGTTACAATGAGTTGACAATAATTTGTTTTTTTGATTATAATAATTGCGGAGCTCTATGTATACTGGTGGGGAAGGTATTGGTAAAGTAGCGAATCAGTGTGAGCGGTTGACCTACGGCGGTCGCGCGACGGCCGCGAGTATCGCGTCACCTATCACAGCTGATAAGGAAGTTTGCGGCGTTATCGCACCTCGCTCTGTTCTCCGCTGATGAAGCCGCTAAACATCCGATACTGACGAATCATGCCTACACTTGTATAGGAAAATTTATACTTTGCTTTCCGTTCAAGTCGTTTACGACACGATAGCAAAAATAAACAGTTGGTTACTAACAAGATATTTTAACATTTATGTCATACTAGCTTTCGCCCGCGACTCCGTTCGCGTGGAATTAAAAAAACAAAACTAAGTAGCCTATGTGTTCTTCCAGGCTATCCTCTACGTCTGCGTCAGATTTCATCGAGATATGTTCAGCCGTTTAGGCTACAAACTCTAACAAACATCCATGCATCCTTCTAAACTTTCGCATTTACAATATTGGTATGGTTTTCTATCAAGTAGTTAAGCAAAGTTAATTGAAAGGCATCTGTTAGTGAATGTTTCTCATTGAGAGGCGTTACTAATTAAATTAATCACTTAAGGTGACGTTTATGTGGCATTTATCTTTTCATTAAATTAGGACTCCTCTTATCCAATTTAGAATCTAAATTATTATAATTAGACAACTACTACTATCTCTGAGTTATCGATAAACATTGATAATTAAAAAATATGTATATTTATGTTTAGTTGATAAAATATTATTTTATTATTTAATATTT